CCAGCCCCGACTGCACCAGCCCAGCCAAGGCTTGAACACCTCCGAGGGTGGAGACGCCACCACCTCTCCGGGCAGCCTGTCCCAGCGCTTCAGCACCCTGCTAGTGAGAAAGTGTTCCCCCATATCCAGCCTCAGCTTCCCTTGCTGCAGCCTGAGCCCATTGCTCCCTGTCCTGCCGTCTGCCCCCACTGAGAGCAGCCCCCCTCCATCCTCTTTGCAGCCCCCAGCGAGGAGATCTTCTCTCCTAAACTCCATGTCTCCTTTACACATCATCCGTGCGGTGGAGCCACACAGCATGCTTGCCCCGACCAGGTGGTCAGCGGTCTGGTGCATCGCCCTGCACACATGTTGCACTGTCCTTTAAAGCGAAGTTTATAGCATGTGGCATTAAAGCGTCCAGCTCTGGAGCAAACCCTGTTTAGTTTTAATCCAGAAATAGCAGGGGAGCTACCCGGGTGGAGAGGGTGTTGGGTAGGTAGTTGAAGGCTGCTATCAAATCCCCGTCCCCGTCTTCTCCAGACCAAACAAACCCAGTCCCCTCTGCTTCTCCTCAAAAATCACATTTTCCAGGTCTCTAGCCCAACTCCCTGCCTGAGGTGTGGTTCGGGATGATTTTTTGGGTTGATTCTGCTACAGTTAGAGGCTTGGACTAGCCGTGACTGCCAGAGGTCCCTGCCAGCCCCACCTCTCTAGGACTCAATCCCTATCCAAACTATCCTGTACAAATCCATAATCTAAACTCTGCATAAAACTACCATCAACCCCAGCACCATGCGGACCTCGCACCCCAACATGCCCCGGAGGGACCATGGCCGCCAACATCCCGCTGCTATAAAAGGTTGTTAGTAGACTCTCAAGAGACCCCCCAAGCAGAGGCCGTGCCCCCGCTACAGAGGGAGGCAACCCCGATCTGACCAGGGGGGAAATCTCTTCCTGCCTCCAAATGCAACATCAGTCTGACCCTGGGCAGAGGGGCAAGACCCTCTACCCAGGACCCTGTGGGGTTGGTGCCAGAAGGAGCATTGGCGCAGCCCGGTCCGCATCCGCAGCCAGCATCTCTGGCGGAGGCTGAAACCCCCCTGACACATGGGGCAGAAAGAGGGGAGAGCAACCAGCAAGGCCCAGACGCCTGGAAACTCCCCATAGGAGAACAGGCATCACCGCACAGGTGCCTAAGCTGGTACGCGAGCCGCTGGGGAGCCAGGGGCACGACTGACACAACCCGTGTCACCTTGCGATGTCACCCCCTGGCAACCCAACGCTGATGACATCGCAGGGGTGCAGCGGATGGGACGCCAAGCCAAGAGCGAGCGGCTGGTCCCTGCAACCCCAGGTCCAGAGGCGTTCCCCACCATGCACCTTTTCAGGGGGGCGGAGGGCCTGAATGTCCTGCAGACAGCCCAGGGACAAACGCATCCCTGATGCGAGGCCCCACGGGGTCCCTGGGAGGACTGGAGCCGGCCCAGGGGTCTTCAGGCCGGGTGCCCCATCTGAGCGCAGGGAGCTGGCGCCACCCGGAGGTGAGCTGGTGTCACAGCAAAGCCGAGCAAGAGCGCACCCCGGGGTAGTTTGCTATGCTGGGTGCCTATTGCTGGGGCGGTTTAGGTCAGCTGGGAGGCAGACAGGGGAGCTGGGGGTAGGTGTGGGCAGCCGTATGCATGGGCTGCTGTAGCCCATTGCAAGGGGTGTGGAGCTACACAGGATAGGGCCCAGCAGGCTTGTCACTGCCACCCCTTCCCCCTGACCCCAGGGGAGGACCAGTGCCCTTCCACTCCCTAGACCCCAGCACCCTGCTCCGTGGAGGAGCTGCTCCATGGACCCAGATATTCCCCCGGGGCATGAAACATCCCCTTGGCACAGTGGGGGTGGGAATCTGTGCAGCTGTTTCTCCATCCGAGGGACCTTTGCGTGGATCTGTGGTGGCTCCAGGCTCTTAATCCTACCCTGTGCAACACTGCAGGCTGAGCCGTGCTCTGGGACCCTCCTCAGCCCTTCCCTTTGGCCCGGATGCCGCCCTGCCTGATTCATCCCTGATAGGTCCGAGCTGCCTGATTTGAGGGTAGCCTCCACCCTCCTTCTGCGTGGGCGATGCACCGTCCTCAGCTGCTTTTATAGCCTCCAGGAGAAAATCACCTCTGTGGTTGCCTCCTAGAGAAGTGGGGCTGGAAGGGAGCTGCAGAGGTCACCTCTAGTCTAAGCCCTGCCTGAGGCAGGATCAGCCCTGTCCAAACCAGCCCTGGCACATCCGTCATCTAAACTCGACGTAAAACTGCCCTCAACCCTGACACGACACAGACTTCACACCCAAACTTGCTGCAGGCAAAGCAGGGCAGCCAGTGTCCTGCCTCTGGAAAATGTCCATATATGCTCAAGAGGTCCTGGGTAGAGGGCCACAGCCCCTGCTACAGAGGAAGGCTCCCCTCTTCTCCCCCTGCCCCCAAATCCATACCAATCTGACCAGGGGGTAAAATTTCTTCCTGACCCCAAATGCAGCATTGAACTGACTCTGAGTGGAGGGGCAAGACCCTCTAGCTAGTAATGGCTTTGCTCCTAATAGGAGAATAGTCACACCCCAGTTTAAGTCCACAGGCTTAGCTGCAGCTAACACCCAATGACTTTGGGGAGGCTTAAAACCCCCCTGACATGTATAGCAGAAAAAAAAGACGGGGGAAGTAACCAGCAAAGCCCAGAAGCCTGGGAAATCCCCATGGAAGAAAATAGGCATCACTACACCTAAATCATCCCCAACCAGTGGTTGTCCAGCCTCCTCTTGAACACCTCCAGCGATGGAGAGCCCACTGCTCCCCTGGGCACCTGTCCCCCCGCTTCCCTGCTCTGACGGTGAGGGTTTCTTTTTTCCGGGGAGCCAATTTAAATTGACTTTGCTGCAGATTCAAGCCCTCCTCTCTGCAGCAAGAGAGAAAAGGTGCTTTCCCCCTTCGTTATGAGCCCTTCAGGTATTTCACTCCTGCCTGCTGCTTCCAGTGGCAGCCTGGCTGTGTGTCAGTCCGATGCCAGCCTGGTGGCAGGGAGCATGGTGGGGCCATGCCTGGCTTACTAGAGTTGGCCCTTTGATTACTTGTGTTTAGGTAGCCTCAGGTTTCTGTCCTCTCTCAACTACCTTGGATTATTCTCCCTTCATTTCAGGACTATCTGTAATTCTCCCTTATGCTTGCTAAGCAAAGCACACTGGACAGTGGCCGTTGAACGTGTCCAAGGAGCCAGTGGGAACTGCCCCAGTGATGGTCTGGCTGGAGACGGGATTGCCCCGTCATCCCCCGGGAACCCTCCCAGCCTCCTTCCTGGTGAGATATATCACACGCTTAGCTAGGGCCAGGAGGACGTTGACCAGCAGGTCCTGGGCCTTAGTGGGGCCGTGGATGGGGAGTGCATAAATAAAGAGGCGAGGAGAGAAATGCAGCCAGGACCTCAGCACGAGGCTCTGGAGGAGGCGGTGCAGGGGCTGCAGCCTGGCACTGCGGCTGGAAACCGCCCTTGCACAGGACCTGGGTGAGGCTGCCCCTCTTCTCCCCAGACTCCAGGCCTGGCCCCTCCAGGGTGCAGGGGCCACGCTCGTCTTCCTTCCCTGAGCCCCTCCTTGGCCTCTTTCTTCCACTTCGCTCAGGTCTTGCCCAGGCCCTGCAGAGCTCGGCTGCTGCTGGAGCTGGACGGCGTCCGTCTCTGGGGGACGGCCATCCCCTTGGGCCTGGCTGAAGTGTGATGGGGCCAGTGGGGTGAAGGGGGACTCGGACAAGGGGGGAGCGAGCTCCTGACTCTTCCCTCTCTGCCCCCTGCCAGACAGATATGGGTGGGGGATAGAGGAGCAGCTCCTGCCAAGGGGCATTTGCCTTTGGGGGAGACCCCCTGGCTGGGGACTGAGGTTCCCACTTCTCCCCAGAGCATGGAGCCGCTCTCAGGCATGGAGGGGGCCAGCCGGGCAATCTGGTTTAGATTCATTTTGAGACCCTGAGCGTCACAGCCCCGCCGTGAGGCAGGGCAGTGCAGCTATTCCCCATCAATTGATGGGAAACTGAGGCACGGACAGTCTGCAAGCCTGGATGTCACTGGCCTAACTCACATGGGTTTCCAACACACGTGTCAAGGACCCGTGTTCGGGGAGGACAGGTGGCCAGCTGTCAGGTGCTAGTACAGTGTCTTGCCATGGGGTGGCAGGACAGCCTGAAAGATCTGGGTTTGGGTCCTGATTGAGGCACATCCATCCCTCACGGCTCTGACGCCTGGGGCGCTCTGCTGCCGGTCTTTCTGAGGATAACTCCGCCCCGTAGCCTAGTCAGTGAAACCGGTGTAGAGCAACACCATGTGCATCTGCTCCTGGCTTCTAGCGTACAGCCCGGCTGCACTGGTGTCAGACCATTGGGTGTTTGGGACATGAAGGACTTACCCAAGGCCGTGCAGCGCGTCTGTGGCAGAGGAGGGGCAGCTTAAGGGAGCAGACACACTGTCTCAGACCCAGTGCCCCTCTAGCAGCTCACCAGGCAGCTTTCTCTGCTGTACCCTACTCTCTGCCAGGGCTCCCACATACCCTGCACATAGCTGGGGAAGCTCCCCTTGCTGCTGCCAGCAGACAGCTGCAAGGGGGTGATTAAGAACAGCCTGAATGGAAAGACTCTGCCGCTGAAAAGGACTAGGGCTTTCATAAATTCACATCCCAAGGTGGGGAGCGAGGCCCAGAGCCAGCTGCAGAAGCACTTCTGGATGCTGGGAACACCTGCATTGCTAGCAGCCGGAGGCCTCCGCCGCAGGCTTCCTGGATGAGTGCCCGCTCCCTGGCCCTTCGTGCT